TCGCCTGCACTGCATTTCCACTCGCCAAATGCGAGCAGGCGAGTGGAAATTTTGAGCCCGGTGCTACACTACTGAGCAGCAGGTCTAATAATCTCTTGGCAACGTTGGGACTCTTTTAAGTTGGAGAGCTCTTAATAGAAGGAGAAAGTCAGTCTCACCGAATTGATGATGGGTCTCCATCTCCGTTGGCGATTCCCTCTTGTGCCAGAGAAAGGGATTCCCCTCTCCAGCTAGCATCTCCAGACAGCTCTCAGGTGGAAGAAGGATACTGGTCACAGTCTCTGAATCTTCTTTCTGTGGTCCTCCAGATGCCTGCTTTCACAGTGACGACAGTCTAAGTCTCTAATGGCGATGGCAGTGGTAGCAGTGTCTTTACTCTGATAAGCAGATGGTCCAGACACATCCATTTATTTGCAAGGCTGCAGAGCGATTTCAGCACATTTTAGAAAGATTATTAGACGTGTGCGCCGTCAAAAAATTTGTTTCGTTTCGGAATATCCGTTACTTCGTATTTCGTAATTCGTGTACGAAATACGAATTTTCGTTAGTTTTGGCACATTTTCGTAACTTTACGAACATTCGTTATGATGAAGTTAAAAAGCAAAAATACCTTTGTTAATATTGGAGTCGATGTGGTAGTTGTTTTTTTTTTATCCGAAATACGAATTCCGTTAACGGATTCCGGGTCCGAATTTCGTATTTCGGATTTTTCGGATTTCGGATGCTTCCGAATTTACGAATTTCAGGAAAATTCGTACGAATTTTGATTCGTAACTAAACGAATCGCACATGTCTAAAGATTATCCCAGTCCTTCCCCCCTCTCTGCTGTGGTCTCTGGGCCTTGTAGTTCTATGCTGCACTGGTTGACTGTGTCTCCATTGCAGAGACTCAAACTCCGTCAAGTCCTTTCAGATTCCAGCAGAAACTAAACTTAATATATGTCACAACCAGTCAAAGTCTCACTGATAGAGGCTCAGATCTGCAGTACTCTGCAATTGATTTTGCTCATAAAGGGGGCAGTAATTAAGCATATTCTACACAAGCTAGGGTATAAAGTTTGGTGTCAGGAAAAGACATGCCTCCTCTCCCTTTGTAAGATGTAGATGCAATACAGGGCCATTTGCCTTGCCAGATGAATTTCAAAAAGGAGCAGTTAAGCAAGGTAACATCAGCATTTTGTAATAGAATTGGTATGGTCTGCATAGAATATAAGAGTCTGGCAAAGATAATTATCTTAACCAGACGTATTCTCCAAAAAAGCGAGATTGGACAAAGATTCTCATTGTTGTAGCTCATTACACATTTTTGCAGTCAGTAGGCCATAGTTTAGGGGTTCAGATGGAGGAAGGGGTTTTACCAATCTCAATACCAAAATACTGTATGTAATGTAGTTCACGGCAATGGAGAAGTCTGAGATGGTGTGCTAAGAGATTCTATCTTTGCTTGTCAATGGGAGAACTTCGCTCTTGGAAGTATTAACCCTTTTGCTTCCAAGCCCTCGGGAACGCTTTACACCTAAGCTGGCAACACCATTTTGGCCACACCACGCCCGGAATTTTTGCTAATAGCTGTCAGCGGCTTGTCAGCTGCTGATGACAGATATTAATTTAAAGGGGACCATCAGGGGAACCGTTCTAATATAAGTTTATGGCCGCTAAACCGACCATGAGCTTATAGCAGAATGGTAAATGCCACTGAAATAAGGCATACTAACGTGACAGGCTGGGAACATTTTTGTTCTGCCATAAGCCATACGTCGGTGGCAGGGAAAGGGTTAATGTGTAGTCTTAAAATTGAACCATGAGAGTTGAATACCTTTTGTATGTAGGGGAGGTCATGGATAGGACGTAAAAAGTAATATGTCCTCAGAAAATAAGGAGAACCTGAGTTGCAAATGGTGAAATTGTTCGCTCGTCAAATCATGAGTGTTCTGTAAAAATCTGGAGAGAGGTTATAATGCTATGTTAAATAGGAGAGGGGAAAAGAGGCAGCCTTTGTGTGTGCCTTTGAGTAGAAGGAAGGGGGAAGATATAAATCCAGGAGTATATATCCTCGCTTTAGGGGAGTTATACATGTTAGTAACGAAGGAGAGAAAGCGACCTGAAAAGCCCTTCACCTGCAGAACTCCATTGAAAAGCCATTGCAAGTGCACGTTATCAAAAACTTTTTCTGCATCAAGTGATATCACTATATTTGTAGCAGGGTGTCTCTTGGTAAATTCTGGAGCTGCCAATACCTTATGTATATTAGACACAGTTTTTCACAAAACCAGCTTCTGCTGGAGAGATTACAGTAGGCAAGGCATGTCTAGGCTTGTTGGCCAGAAACCTTCCTGATTTGTTCCAAAATTTGTGATAGTTCAAATTAATATGATTCTGATAGGAGTCGTTCTGTTGTTCCGCCCAATAAACAAACCGATTATTGGCAGCCTGCCATTGGGATCTCCGTAGTGGGGTAGGATTGTTGGTCAAGTGATGTTGCACTAGACATAAGGATGAGCTGGCTTGAACGAACTGCAGTTTGGCCTGTTTTTTTCCTTGCTGACACATATGACAGGATCTTGCCGCTCGAGAAGGCTTTCCCAGTTTCCCGAAGCAAATGGGGGCAGATAGTCGGGTCGCCATTTATGTATATAGAATTTTCTCCAGGCTTCCTGAAATGTGGGCTGGAATGAGGGGTCTTGGGCTAAGTGGAAAGGGAATTGCCACAACACAGCATCGCCAGAGGAAGTGGTGTCTCTTAACTCTAGGGAACATATACAGGGTTATTCACAAAAGGATGAGTTTGGAGAAGGCAGGAGAAGTGAACATTCTAGGACAACATAGCTGAACTGGAAAGTGAGCTGAATTGGAGAATTTTTCCAAATCAGCTAATTTGGCCTAGATTGTTCACTTCTCCTGCCTTCTCTAAACTTTTCACACTTATGTGAATAACCTTGATAGTTTTTAATATGAATATCTCTTTCAACTATCCAAATAATGAGGTATAATTTGTTATAATATTAATTATTGTAAGAAATGTATAAGCTTGTCTTTCCAGATATATTATTGGCAGCTATGTATTAACTATTGGAATATGGCTAGGCTCAAGACATACAGGGTTATTCACTCAGCTGCAGAAGGCAGCCGAGTGAATAACCGAGCTGAAGTGAACAGAGCCGAACGATGTTCGGCTATTCACTCCGGCTCAGTACGGCTGAATTCAGCCCTACATCGGCAGCCTTTGGTCAGAGGGACTTCGACTCAGCCAATCCAACATCTGGATCAGCTGAGCCGAAGCTCCAGCACCTCACTTGCTGCCGTTCGCCCCTATTCACATAGGGGCCAAATGGCAGTGAGTGAATAGCCGAATGCTGCCGAGCGGTATTCGGCTCGGCTATTCTGCTCCATGGTGCCGAGCAGAATACAAAATCAGTAAAAATAGTAGTAAAAAAAGGTTAAAAAAATTATATTTAAAAAATGTAAATAAATAGTAAAATAAATAGATATTTAAAAAAATTTAAAAAAATAATAAAAAAGGAAAAACTATTGGGCAGAGCTAGCAGTGACAGCTAGCTACGCCCAACTGTTTCTTATTGGACGGTGTCTGCTAGAGTCTTCTAGCAGGTCCCGGCCAATTAATAACAACTGGGTGGAGCCGGCCATGATGTCACGGCTGGCTCCGCCCACTTGTTGTTTAATGACAGATCAGTGTCCCCAGGTCATTTGGGGACGCTGATCTGTCATTGGGGATGCTGATCTGTCATTTGCGGGGCAAATGGCCGGCCTTCGGCAGGCTGTTCGCCCGCCCCGCTTCGACTGTAACTTCAGCTCAGTCAAGCCGAAGAACACGTGCATTTGGATTTGGACAAACCTGCAAATCAATTAGAATCAGTTGATTCGGCGGTTCGTCTGAATCCGCAATAACAAATGTAATATATGCCTGAATATACTAAAATTATATTCGGCCATACATAAATGCGTTTTTAGAACATGCCGACGTGTTCTGCACATGCCCGCCGCCATCTTGGAGGCGGAACGTGTGATGTCACATGACAGTGACGTCACACACTGAACAAGCGGTGGCCAGATCGGCAGCCAATCTGCAGCCAATGGCTGATCTGACCGCCATCTTAGTATACACCAAGATCTACTTCAAAATGGTGGCCGCTGCTCATTCTGTGGTTTTAGTGTACGGCTTATTGCCTCCGAATCCAAAACAACATAAAAATGTGTTTCCTTTGACGAAACGAATTACATATTCTTTGTTGTGCTCATATCTAAGCCGAAGCATATGCCTTCGGCTCGGCTGAGCTGCGCGGCCACCTTCGGCTGCTTTACGGGCTATTGTGAATAGCCCGTACAGCAGCCCTTCGGTTCCTCGGAACCGAAGGGCTCTGGCCGCCGAAGAGAGCCGAAAGATCAGCCGAAGCTACGGTTATATTATTGAGCTCAATAGTGAATAACCCCCATTGAAACCAGACCTGCCAAATTATATTGGCCTGTATAAGATTGTTGGGTGGTTTTATACAATGCCAAGAAGGCGTGATAATAGGTGCTGGTATTTTTGTCTATCTGAGCTCCTGTGTCACAAATGGAAGCTGTTCATCCTTATATTGAGGATTTTGGCTGCACATCAGTTGTTTTTGACAGCTAATGTAGGTATGCTGCTTTATTAACACCCACCTGCATGTGACTGGCTATTCAGTATTCCAGGTTACTGTGGTGACAGAAAATGGCAAAGTATAATTGACCAGTCAGAAGTCTGTCATGATTCTGGTGAGGATTGGCTCTCAGGAAGGGGGTGTGGCCTGGAAACGAGTCAGCCATCAGCTGATTGTGACAATCGAACAGGCTGAACCTGCAGCCAATGACTGATACACAGTACATCATGTTTTTTATGAGGATCATATGTTGATGTGTTTGGCTGACTGTGTTACTTGGTGTGGCTCTATATGAGCCGATCTAAAAAAATTTTTTTTATCACATAATAGATTATTTTCTGGGTATATTCTACTTACTCTCTTTCACAGTGTACACTGTCACCATTCCAGCATACAGATGGTCATCCACATGGCAGTGCAAAAGCCATGTTCCTGGGCTCCTGGCTATCATTGAAGCAGTTTGGAAAGTGCCAGGAAGAAATTCAATTACATCTGCCTGGAGTTCGCGGCCCCTCTACATAACAGAAAATGAGCAATGGGTTAATTAGTAGGCTTGCATGTCCTGTACTAAAGCTTAATTGTCATTATGGAACATGAAACCATCATTTATAATGCCAGTTGGAGGTTATCCATACATATACAGTATACAGTATAAACAACATCCTGCTTTCATAATATGCAAGGCATATACTGTATCTGCTAATGTCACAGAAATATGCCTAGGCATGGGGGGAGCTGACTTATTGAAATCACAGAATAGGAGAGCATCTGTATTCCCATAATAAGTTATACATTTCATTGGCATAGCTTGAAGCTGAATAGCAAGCAAACCAATAAAATACACGGCTAGTAGAAATTACAGAAAAAATAAGAATTTTATACAATATTGTCTAAAAAGAACATTAGAACAAGATTACAGTTTGCCATTGAATCTGTAGGAAAAGATCAGGCCTTCTGGAACAATGTTTGGAAAAAAACGATCAATCAAAGATAGAGTTGTTTTACCACAGTAACAATAGATGTGTTTGGTACAAACCAAATGCAGCACTTCCGGATAACAACCTCAAACCAACTATGAAGCATGGTGGTGAAAATGTTTTGGTTTGGGGGTGCTTTGCTGCTTCTGGGTCTGCACAGTTCTGCATGGAGAAGTGATCAAAAAGTGTACTGAGTCGATGTCAGAGGCTCGTGTTCAGTTATACAAGATGCCTACAAGAAATAATTTCCGCTTCAGGGGCAATAGAAGCTTTTGAGGCCAATGGTGTACATACTATTTCCAGATGAAAAGGCACATTTAAACTGTTTTCTTACTTAAAAGAGAACTATTGGGTAACCTTTTTTCCCCCTATAGTTCTCATTATGGTCATGGGAGGACATATACTAACGTCCTCCCATGAACCAAACTCAGTGTATATAGCAGGCTATTGCCTGCTATATGTTGAGAGTGCCGCAGCTGGGACAGTTCTCGACATTACTGTCGAGATCCACCTCGCTGGCTGATTAACAGTGGGCTCTGCCTATCGAGAGGCAGAGCCAGCCATACCCACCCCCTCCCATTGTCCGTGACTGTTACATGACTGTATATTGAACAGGACTTTATGCTATAATGCTGAAAACATTTTTCTTTTTATCCCAGCAGCTTCTCTGGTTCTATTGAGTACCTAGAACATACCCCAGCATTTACAGTCATACTGGTAAATCAGTCACCTTAATCTAATCACAATAGACTGTGTCTAGGTAGATGCTAATTGAAAAAACCCTGATGGGAGGTGTGACATTTTGTGAAATCACGCTGTTCTAATTATTTAATCCAATCACACTGTGCCATGAAGTTTGGGACACAGGTAATCAACTAAGTTAAATGGCTGAAGGTGTAAATCGTCAAATCACCAGGGGAAAAGATGTTAAAACAGGATTATAAATGGGTGACAGATGGTGTTGAAGATCTGGCCCTTCTGTTTAGGAATGGTTGTTCCTAAAACCTCTTGCAAACCAGTTGTCCTCTCTGTCTTCAAAAGAATGTCCCTTTTCCTTAAGTAGGTAGACTGCTGAGCACTAATTTTCAGAATCCACCCTTCTATACTGGGTCATCTATTTGTTTTGTGTCCTAAATACACAAGTCTTTGTATTCCTCACTACACTGGATTGCATATACTAAGGTACTTCACTTGTATTGGTGTTAAGCAAAGTTCCTACGGATTAGTGCTTTTAAACCTTGGGGGCACCTTGCTCAATCACAGGCTTTGAAGCTTTGGATGAATTACAACCTTTCTCTTGTGTAACTGTAACTCATAAAATGTGTACTTTATGGATTTTGGCTCCTATTGATGGCAGCACACACACCAAAAATGATAGGTGTACGAACTCCAGCCCATGCATTAATGCAGCTTAATTAACCTGGTGTGAATGAGTCCTATATCTAAATGAAAAAGCAGGTCACCAGCACTCAATCTATGCTCAATCTAAGGCAGATAGCACTCATCTATCTGCCTTGAAGAAGGGACCCTGCGCGGCCCCGAAACGTCGGCTTTGTTGATTGTCGTGACATAATTGTCCATTGAAAAGGACATATCTATTTAAATAATTTGAGTGCTGGTGACCTGCTTTTTCATTTCGTATTTTGCACGGTGCCATCCGTGGTAGTCACTACAAGCACCATCATTCTTACTGGCCGGGATTGCTGTAAGGTGTGCGGAGAGCACCCTCATCAACTGAAATGAGTCCTATATCTCACATCCCTGCTCTTGAGTCCCCATCAGATTGATGTCAGGTGTTTTGTGTATTTTCGATAAGCATTATCACACTTACTATACTTACCAAGTCAACTTACAGCACTTATCAACTTTAGTCAGTAAACACGTTATTTAAACTGAAATAAATAATGAAAAGTAGTTTTGTCCTAATCACAGTAAATGTGGTTACCGTAAATTTCATGCTGTGGCCATGCCAATGTGCTGTGTGTATATCCACTTCATTCCCCATACCCATGATGTGCCAGACCACATGATCCCTAACATTCATAATCAGTTTTGTGTTGGCATACATTTTTCCATTGATACCTGTAAGAAAATCCTTAGGAGTCAAATAGCGGTGTGATTATTTAGTCAATGAATTAGCACTACTGTTGGATGAGACCCAGTAAGTAAAGCAATGCAGTGTTTTGGTTTTTTTTACGTATACGCAGACATACCCGATGTTCTCTGTCTTACTGGAAATGACTGTAGCACTGGATTCTTAAAGGAGAACTATGAGATGAGTGATTTCCACTCACCTCATAGTTGTAGCCGACCTGTGACAATGAGACTGTCACAGGTCGGCTCAGTAGATCGGGAGGTGAGCGAACACATACCGGGTTCGCTCACCTCTCGATCCTGTCACGGCTCTCTGCCGTGACAGGGGGCGGGGCTGGATTCCCCTCTCCCCGCTCCGATCTGCCAGCGCTGACTGGCGGAACGGACAGGGGAGGGGGCGGGTACAGCTGGCTCTGCCTCTAGATAGGCAGAGCCAGCTGTCACTCACACAGATGGGCGGATCTCGACATCGATGTCGGGATCCGCTCCGGCTGCGGCGTCTCAGTATACCGCGAGGTGTAGCTCGCGGTATACTGAGCTGAGGGCAACGGGAGGACGCTAGTTTGTGTCCTCCCGTTACCCTAAGGAGAACTATGGGGAAAAACACTGACCCCATAGTTCTCCTTTAACCGTCAGTGAGCTGACAGTACCCCTCTATAGTGAGGAATGAGCATAGCTAATTTTTCAGTTTTGAAAACTATGTACTTATTACAAACTCAGGAAATGTGGTTGTATACTCTTTACAAATCCGTTATACCAGTTCAGTTACGGGCCTATTGATTTGCCAATACGTGCGCAATCGTCTTATGGATGCCTGCCGGCGGCCATCTTGGTGATGGATGCCAGCAGAGAGAGGAGGGGACGTTCACTCGGCGATATGAGGTATGCCACCAGGCCCCCTTCCCGGACACTCAGGAAGCCGGCTCGATGCTGATTGGCCGGGAAACCAGCGACCCAGCCAATCACAATCAAGCCGGGCAAACAACATGAAGCCAGCTGCCCGGGCAATCAGGAAGCCGGGCAGGAGTGATATTACCTACCACACGGCTTCCTGATTGTCCGGGAGGCCTGCTCCATGCCAGCAGAAGCACTGGTATCGGTACTTGGTATCGACGAGTACTGAAAGCAAAGTATCGATACTCATACTCGATACCATAAAACCGATATCTGTGCATCCCTAATTATAACATGTTTATAATTTTTATTGGCTTCATTTAAATCTGTGTGTTCATGGCACAATTCTGACAGGTCCGTTCTGCTAGCATTTTAGGTTTTATTTTTTGGTAGGTATAAGTAAAATTCAGAGTCTTAATTGAGAAGAAGGATTTGTATTTCAGTGCAATTATTTCAATGGACTGCCCTATTAGCGACCAAGAAGCTTATGTAGCTTTGCACATTTTTTACTACAAATTTTGCATGTTTGTCATGTGTTTTTGCATGCACAAAAATGCATGTCTTGCTTGAAACGTTTGGGGTGCTATTAACAATAAATGGCACCGCAAGCAAGATCCATTATTTGCATATATCATGAACACATACAAAACCGCACAATTTTGCATATGTTCCCACATGTGGCAAGTGTGGATGTTGCCTAACAGTACTCTTTTTATTGTCTCTTTTTTCACTTGAATGTGGATGCTATATGTGTCTAAAAAGAAAAGCCCTGGTCTTTTGTGAAAGTGCAAATGTCAACCATACAATGTATTACAGGTCATAGATATTGCCTTAGTAGTTTGGCGTAGTATCTGTAAATTCACAAGCAGGCTGGACATTTGCTTTGTCTTCAAGATAACATGCACATGTAAAAATCCATTAGCAATGAAAAACATGCCATATACAGGAAGAAAGTAATAAAATACATACTGTGCATCATATTGCTTTCAATAAATTAATCACTATTTTTGTCCACTTCACTGGGATTCAAGCAATATTTTTGGATATTTTCATCCAGATACCAGGACTTATTTTCATCAAACACCATAAAAAGTAGAACTAATCTTAAATCTGGTGCCTCCAATTGATTATATGATCTTTTACAAACCACAATAGTTCCAATCAATCCACTGTACGTATCCTATGGAAAAAAAATAGATGTTTTAGCTTCTTTTTTCAGTTGTAAGACCTTTGTATTCACAAATCTCCACCATAGATTGTTTCTTATAAGGTCCCTTTCAGGGCCTGTGCACACCATAATCTGACCGAAAATGTAAGTAAATTGAGAACCATTGACTTGCAATTTCAACTTCCAATGCGTTGCCTTTTTGTAAAAAATGTTTTGCTAATCTTTTATATTTTAATTAACATATCATGAGTGGACAAACTTCTTAGTTTTTTTTGTTACTGCCATTCCGTTACATTGTGTTGACATCTGTTTTTGACGCTTTCGTTATATTGCGCAGAAAAAAAATAGAGCATGCTCTGCTTTTTCTTCATCACACTGCAACAGAACTCAATGGATCACAGCGGTGTGAACTGGTCCCATTCACAGCCATACATGAAAACTGATTCAGTGGGTCCTCAAACGAGCGCTGTCCATTCCGATCATCGGGATCCATGCACAGATCCCCTGCTGATCAGAACAGTTGGGAACAGATGTTAGTAGCAGATGTCTCAGTTCCGTCCTTTTTATTTCCCAGACCTAGATGGAGTTGGGGGTAATCGAATGTAAGAAGACACATGTCCGATTAGATCCGGCTGCCTAAGGACTAATATTGGGCTTCTGATCAGATCCACCTGAAAAACTGACAGACGGACCTGATCAGACTACCTGTCTGAAAGGGCCTAAAACATATGGGCATTATTTTTCACTGATAGATGGCCATAGGTAGGAACTTTCTGGAAAAGACCTGGCAATACCGGGAATTCTTTATCTGGCTGCCGGGTCATACCGGAAGGTTTACATCTCCAGAAAATCATTTATTCCAGAGATGTAAACAAAAGCAATGTACAGTGTGCATGAGTCACGCACACTGTGATTTGATTTTTACACTGGGAGGAGGACTAGGAAGGAGGAGGAGCAGTAGGCAGGAGCTAGAAGAGCAGTAGGTGGAAAGAGAAGCACTGGGGCATGCAGAAGGAGCTGGAGGGAAGAGGAGAATGAAGACACACCCACCAAGATTTGCTGGAGAACTGGAGACCAGCCATGCCATCAGAGGGGTAAGTGTATGCATGTATGCAGTCCGTGTCACTGAAATGGTGTGTGCACCTGGCTCCCACCTAGCCACCATTTCAGTTACACTGACAGTGCTTGTAGGTGGCAGCCAGGTGCACTGTCAGTGTCTCTGGAAAGGTGTGTTCACCTGGCTCCCACCTATCCACCATTCCAATTACACTGACAGTGCTTGTGGGTGACAGCCAGGTGCACCATCAGCGCCTCTGGAAAGGTGTGTGCACACGCAGGAACCATGGGGAACAAAAGTAGCTACCCTCCAGAAGGAAGGACAGTGTCGGCACCAATTCAGAGATCATTTGAAGATCTACAGCTGACTAATGCACAATTAAAATACGGTTTTGTTAATAGTTAAGGTATTTTAATTGATTTTTTACAATTTAACCCCTGAGCTTACTGTCACTTTAAGGATTAATTAGGGGTCTGCTAGATGCCTAATGTCACCTATGGACCCAAATGTATGTGAGACCTTGTCATATAAATTATGCTATCACACAGGGGTCCGCACATGGATAAAAAGTTGTTAGACACCCTTTCCCCACGATGTACAGGAATGTTGTGGCTGGAGTTTCCAATTAAAGAAAATCATTTTTTAGTGATGTACGATCTAAATGTTACATAAAAACAGAATTTGTATTGCTGTCTTTGAGTATAAGCAATCCTCATTCCTGTGACTCCCTGTCACTAGCACAAGTAATAAGGTGTAATCACTCCAATAGAAACACAGATGGCAATAAAAAAAAAACTTTTAGAACTTAACACTTCTTCCACATATAACTAAGACCAAACAAAGTTTTGATTGTCAATTTAACTGATGGCAAATGGTGGCCATACATCACTTGATCCTAGCCTCATTTGGGCATCTCTTCTCGTAATCAGGCTGTGTAGGACTGCCCCAGGGAGCAATACTGAGCTCCTAAGTTTTAGAGACATTTTTGTAAAGAGTTTCTAACATTTTATAATTAGTCAAGTTACTGAAGCAATAATTTCTCTATGCAGTTGTTTGTCAGTAAGAAAATGGGATGCAATCTGAAATTTGTTCCAATTTACAGGAAACGTTTACCTCGTCTACATGTGTTTGGTGATCATTTTGTGGTAATCTAAAATATTACATGTGTAACAAAAGACCAGCAACTGTAGGTCTAGTGTTAAAGTGACACTAAACTTAGAAGGTACATTTTAAAATTGCATTCAAGTACCCTAACTATTAACAAAAATGTACCTTATTTGTGTATCACTTAGCTGTAGATTCTCAAATCATCTTTGAATTGGTGCTTACACATCCTTTCTTCTGGAGGGTGGCTTCATTTGTTCCCCGTGGTCCCTGTGTGTGTTGTAAAAGAGCCACCGCTCTAACCTCACTCCTGTGATAGACTACAATCTCAATACAAATTAGTACACTAATGGGACCGTGGGGAACAAAATTAACCACCCTCCAGAAGGAAGGACAGTGTCAGCACACAGAGAGCATTTGAAGGTCTGATTTGTTAATAGTTAAGGTACTTGAATGTATTTTTAAGATTTAACTTCTGAGTTTAGTGTCACTTGAATGATTAAGGGCTTGTTCACACCAAGCGCGTTCCAGGAGCAGAGCAGTTACAGACCGGATCAAAACTGCGTCCAATCTATTCCAATGGTATTTTGGGTTCTAGTTCACACCGCAGCGTTCAGTTCCAGAGCATGTAAAAAAAACTGCAGCAAGCCCTATTTTACCTGCTCTGGAACGCATGTAAACACATAAAAAATGCATGCAAACGCTCTGGAACGCACTGAAAGCCCATTTTAAACGTAAAAAAATAATAATATATATATATTTTTTTTTACAAAACACAGCCTGGAACACATCACAAACGTGGCAAAAAACGCAGTATAACACACTGCACTGCGTGTGTAGAAACTCATGCAGATCTGGTCTGCATTTGGTGTGAACAAGCCCTAAAGGAAATATGCACTGAGAAATATGCAGGCTGCCATTGTTGATCATCTCCTTTTGCAGATGCTAGTTACCTTACTCTCTGGCCTCAATGCCTTCTGAGTCACTGACTAGGAACAAGCACGATGTTCGCCAAGTCAGCATAATGTTAGAGCTGCTGATATGCGTACATATTTCAGGTCAGTGACTTGTGATGTGTGGAAGCCAAAGAAATAGCATAACCACCAGGTAATTAGGATTTTCAAAAATCCTTTAACTCTGAAGTATATCAAAATCAAAAAGAATAAAACTCACCTTTACTTGGTCAACATCAGAATAGTAAGCCCATGTCAAACAATCCGTTTCATCGATGTTAGGGCCAGACCGTTTAGGAACATTCCAAGTATATACTTCTATATTACCTGTGAATAAACTATACTGTGTATAGGTATGTATATATAACAAATGTAGCTGAAAAGACGATTAAAAGAAAGCAAATGTTGAATTGACTGACCGTTGGTGGGGCTTTTTTTAATCCAGTAGAATGCAATGTTTATGAGAAAATGTAATGTGTCATTGGCCAGCAAATAGAGGGGTTATAGGGATTCACTGATCAATAATATCCCCCCAGTAACACCAATGTTCTGTCTATCCCTTCACTGAGCACCAGTGTTCCACCTTTCCCCCCAATGAGCTCCAGTACCCACTTTCTTATCCCCCCACTGAGCACCAATGCGCTCCTTTTCCCTCATTAGGGAATTTTTCCTCTCACTAACCACCAACACCGGGCATTTTTTTTCCTCCCACTGACCACAGTTCCCGGGATTTTTTTTCGGATTCCTGCTGACTGGCAATATAAGGGGCAGTATGATACCTTCTGCTGACTGCTGCACACTATACATTGAGGGGAATTTGTCACAACTGGAGCAGAAAGAATCTGGGGCAGCTGTGAATGGCAATCAACCAACATCTATCTAAATTTTCAAGGCTTAACTTGCCAAACTGAAGAAAGAAGCTGATTGTTTACTATGGGTGCTTGCTCCAGATTCTGTCTGCTCCAGTTTTAGTAAATTTTATTCCCCCATTGTTTCTTACATCACATAGTTCTTTTTTATAAAGTCTTTATTTAGGATTTTGCATAGTTCACAGATGGATAACAGATATTTGTAAAAGAAAAATTTGTTCGATTCCACAGGGGTATGACAAGATTAGCAGTATAGTGTCAAACAAGTCCACACACAGTAATGTACATACAGAAGGCAGCAGGTCAATAGTACAGTTACATTGGTTGTGTGCATTGCTCTGCCTCGCATTATGGGACAACATAGTCAATTAAATTAGGGCATCGTAGGGTTTCCCTGAGGAAGGTTGTGATAGTGCATTCAGTAAGGGTTAGCAGGGGTGGGGTAGGGGGGGATAATCTCTAAAAAAGGTAACATTCCAAAAGTATTGCCAACAGCTTATGAGGTATCCATGGCTTTTATTGAGTCGCATGTATCCTAGGGAGAAAGGGGT